CCAGACTCTCTCAGCACCTCTCCGTTTCTTCAGTAGAGAATATGGATTTGTTTGGTTCTGCTGCATTCCACACACAACTTGTGGGGAATTAGGAACAAGGCTTTGGACCCATCTGTTTTGCTCTCACTCCCTCATGAAGGCTCTATCCCTTCTATTTGTGTTGGCTGTGTTATTAAGCATCAAAGAAAGCCCCTCCCATTACTTCTGTGAGCCACAGTGCAGACTATTAAATTACCTGGTGGTCCTGGTCCTAACAAGTCTAGCATTCTCTGCTCTCTTATACAGCCTAGGCTGCCCTCATACATCCTGGCAAAGAACTGTTTCCACATATCCCTCAGAGTTCCCTAGCTCCATACTTTTCTCATGCCTTTTCCTTTGTCTAGTACCTAATCCACTCCACAAACGTCTTGTCCCTGATGCTTCCATCCGTGAGAATCTTTCCTCTTTGACTCCAATTCTCTTTCTTAATTTTATGTTTACCTTGTGTCTTGCCCCTCTCTAATAGGCAAAAATGGAAGTTTCCTGAGTTTAGAAATAGCGTTTTATGTATTTATCTAATTCCTAGTCATTTACCCCCACCGTTTCGAATCATTAGCATATGACTTGACTCAATGGTGGAAAGCCAATGAATATTATTAGGTTAATGAATCAGACATCTAGAAAGACAAGGAAGCCAATTTGGCTAATTTGGAGAGCAAGGTAGATTGCTTTTCTGGGGTAACTAATGAATAACTAGGTAACTAGTTTGAATTGGGAATTAGAATCATAGGCTCTTACAACTTTAAAAACACTAGCCGAATCCCTTTATACTGTACATGAAAACTGAAACTCCCGAGGAACTAAAATGACCAAACTAAATCAGTTCTGGGACTCCTGATTTTCACTCTGGTGTGTTATCTAATGAAAAAATATATTTATTTTTTAAATTTTACAAACACTGCTATAAAATAATTAATGAAAATTCTAAAAAAAATTACTCCACAATCATACTACCATGATATATGGACTGCTGCCTTATTCAGAGGCTCATTTAGACATTATAAGAATTCATATCTTTATACAGATATAACCCTAATTTACCTACAATGTCTAATTTATTTCATTTAATATTCTATACTCTTTTCTCTATGTTGGTACATTGTTATCATAATTAAAATGTCTCATAGTCACATAAATTTCATTAAGTTTTTGTACCAAATTACCTCTGGTTTTCCATAATTTAGTTAATATGGATGAATAGCTTTCTGTTTGAAGCATTTATTGTTTTTGAAGTATTTCTGACAGATATATTTCCATATATTAGTTTGCTAAATCAAAGTCTATGAACATTTTTATTGGTATTTATACATACTGTTTTTTAAAAAAATTATGTCAATTATGCTACTTTCATAGCAACCTGACAAGCACATATTGTTGTTATTTCAATGGGAAAATTGTGCTTGAATGTTGCTTAAATATGTATTTTTGTGATTATTTGCAATGTCCATTTTTTCACACTATAATTCTGCTAGTTTTATGAATTTGTTATCCATGTCTTTTACCTTTAGTTTTTTTAATACAAATACAAGCCTCTGTTATTTTTGATGCAAATATTATTTTTAATCGATTCATTTTTATGCCCATCAAAAAACTAGGTCAAAAACAATAGGATGAGAAAATATTAGATCAGAAATTACCAAAATTAAAGTTATGTTCTTTTCTACCTGCTTTCCCTTATATTACTTTCCCACGTGTCACTTGGTTCATTTCTGCTCCTTTCTGGAGTGCAGATTCTTTATGTCTTCACTGTCGTGCCTTCTTGGATGTCTTCTCCCAAAGCTTCCGTATGGTCAGCAGTGTATGATCCTTCCTTCTGCACTATAACATAACCATAACAATCAGTTTGTTTTCATATTGTGTAAGGCAGTGTTTCCAAAGTTGGGGTCCAGAGTGGGATACATTCGATAATTTTAAATGGTATGCCAACAATTTTAAAGTTTAATTCTTATTTTTTATTCTAATGCATATTAATAGCCACCTTCTATCAATATCAAGTTACACCGATTTTGCACTTATGTGAGGAATATATTAAGTAATATATAATGATATGTAAATATGTATATCTTTTTCTTAAAAGGCGAACTTCTATTTCTCTCACATGTAAAATAAAAAAAGTCAGAGGTAGGCCAGTAAAAACTGGAAAGAACATTTTCCAGAGCTGTCAAGGACTCAGGCTCTTTTTGTGCTGTTTCTCTGCTATCCTCAGACTGTGGTTTCCACCCACTGTGCAAGATGGTGTCTTGGGTTCCACGATATTTAAGTTAGCACAGAGAAGGGTAGATGGAAACGCCATTAACTGAGCTAGGGAACAGTGGTTTAGGAGGAAGACCGTGACTATCTTTCAGACATATTGAATTTAAGATTGATGTAGAGACAACACTTGGAAATGTTAAGAGTCAGGAACTCCAAAGAGATGTCTAGACTGAAGATACAAATGTTTGGATCTCCTGCATAAACGTGGTAATTAAGGCCACTGGTGTGGATGAGAATGTTTAGATATTTCGTTCATAATCAGAAGAGGAGCAAGCATAGCACTGAGCCTTAGGTAACAAATGTATTAATCGGCTGTGTAGGAAACAAGAAGCCTGTAAAGGATTTAAAAAATAATTATCCAGAGACGCAGGGTAAACAAAATAAACAAAAAATAGGGAAGTATTGTGAAATAAATACCAGGAGAACTGTTCTAAAAGGAAGTCAGGCACTCAAAGGGCAAATAAAATATGTGGCTGTGTAGGAAACAGGAAGCCTGTAAAGGATTTAAAAAATAATTATCCGGAGATGCAGGGTAAACAAAATAAACAAAAAAAAAGGGGAGTATTGTGAAATAAATACCAGGAGAACTGTTCTAGAAGGAAGTCAGGCACTCAAAGGGCAAATAAAATATGGGCTGAGAAAATCCAATATATTTATCAACATGGAAGATATCGATGATTTTTGCAAGGTTGTTGCAGAGATGAGACAGTCAGATGAAATAGTCACAAGCTTGATTGGAGTGGGTCGATGAGTGAGTGAGAAGTGAGGAAATACCAACAGCAGAACTGGACTGCAGTTTCCACTGTGGCTGTACAAGGGAAGGAATGATGTAGGTATGTGTATATAAGGACTCGTGGGGAGTTTTTTTTAAATGGGAGAGATTGAACATAGTTAAAAGCCAGTGTGAATAATTCATTTGAGAGGAAAGGGAGAAATATATGAGGGGGCGAGGAGAGAGAGAGAGAGAGAGAGAGAGAATCCTGAAAATATGAGACAGAGTGAGAAACAAAGCTTATAGTTGTAGAGATAGGCATTAGCCACGAGAAATATTGGAACAAACTAAGGCAAAGCAGGATAAATGAAAAGATGGAAGGTAAAGCAGCATGTGTGGGTGTTTAAGGGGAAGTGGAGAGGAAAAGATACATTCCAGGTCCCTCTCTGGTTTTATATAATTTTCTCTTGCCTAGGGACGTTTCCAGTGGGGGTGGGTGATGGGGAGGAGAATCAGAACAATAGTTCTCATGGTGTGTTGTTTTATAGGATACAGCAAATGACTCATAACTTAATGATTATTATAATGATGAGTTTTGTATTTCTTCTGATTTATAATAGAATTCTTATGAGCTAGACATTACCTCATTCTTTTATCAAAAGCATGTTATTCCTATTCATTTTGATAATCTATTATTCAGTGATAAGAGGGATTATGTGGGGTGATAGTTCATATATTTTTTGTACTTTGATTTGAGAATCTCAGATTAAATACAGAATGCCTTTCTCAGTTTTATTTTTCTAAAGTACCTTATTCTTCTAAGCCTTGCCTCTAATTAGTTATCTGTTTACCTGCTTAATGTCTTTTTTTTCCCCTCTGTGACTTTCTATCTTGCATATCCTGATAAACTTCAGAGAAGTGGGAGCAGTATTTCTATCCTGAACTTGAGGGTCCCCTTTCTAGACCTTCCATATAATCATAGTCCATGTTTAAACACACACATTTGAATCTACAATTTTAATCCACACAATTACCAGTGATTTAGGCAGAGAAATACAATAGCAAGAGAACTGAATTCAGCTTCCAGAGACTGCTTTGTCATTTAAAAACTAGCTCTGTGATCTTAGACAAACCAATAAACCTCAGTGCCTTTGCATAGACTGGGAAAAATTATACACTATTGCTGGGCAAATCTAACATTCCACTGTGAGAATCAGACCTGATAACATATTAAAAGACTTTACCCACATGTGACCCTATCTGCATTACTCTCATAAAGCACCTTTATCTCGTTCTCAGTAGCTGTATAAACCTCTAAGTTAATACATTCAATTTTAGGTATGAGCTGTCTATTAGCACTTCAGCTAAATAGATTTTTTCCTTGGGATCACTGGGCATTTCCCCCTGGCTTTCTGCTTTACCCTCCTAATTATGATGTGAATACACATTTCAAGAATTCCAGAGAGGTTTTCTTGTAAGCAAAAAGGCCTTTGCAAGGACTAATAGATCACAGCCCACTTCATAGAAGGCCCTGAAGTGGGTATTTGGAGGTATTTGGAGTCCCAGTCTGCAGTCCTCATTCCTCATTCGCAAGAGAACTTTAAAAAAATAGCTAATATTTATTGAATACTTAATATGTAGCAGGCACCATTCCAGGCATTTTGCTCCTACCCTCATTTAATTCTCAGATTATCCAGTTACTATAATCATTATGTCTGTTTTACAAAGGAGGAAACAGAGGCACAGTTAGGCTAGATCACTGGCCCAACGTGTGGAGCCAGGCAACCGATGATGCAATACTAGTCAGTGATGCTTCCTTTTCTTTGCTGCACTTGGAGATTCTGAATTTCACTAGAAGGTATCCGGGTGGCCCTTAGCGGAATATGAATTGCTTGTCTGGAATCCAAGCAGCTGGCTGGTGCCCCCTGGGGAGTGACGTTTCCTCTGAAGGGGGCAGGGAGGCGCGAGCGCTTGCAGAGCACCGAGTGCCCAGCCTTTGAACAGACATCTGGCTGGGGCTGAACAGCCTTGAGGTGGCAGATGGCTTGAATCAGGCAGAGGAGGAACCTGTTGCTGAAGCTCCGCGTGGGCGCTTCTGGTTCCCGAAGCCGTCAGGGCTCGGCTATAGCGCGTTGTGCAGGTAAGGGTGTGGTTAGGCTGGGCTGGGGTCCCCAGCACCTGGCTTGGATGATTTCGTGTTAGCAACTGGGGACTTGTTACCTTAGATTTTGCGACTTTACTCTTTCTACCTTTCCCCAATCCCTTCCTAGTTCCTTGGGGGCTCCTCTGTGGAGTCACAGTACAGGAGGGCATCACTTTAGTCACCAGCCGGATTTCCGGGGGGCTTCTCAGGTCGGGCTCTTGGGATCCTTGATGGCTGCTCGCAGAGCTGGGACGGGGGCCCTTTCTTAACCATAAAGTTCTCCAAATACCCTCTCTGGGGCCGTATTGTTATAACTTTGTTGAATGTCCTTGGAGAACGTAGAGTTTTCTAAACGGTTCTCTTCATCCGCGATGATTCTGAGCTTTGTGTATTTTTGTGCATGTAAGGCTGCATATTGTGCGTTTCTACCTTCCTGGAAGAAATCCTTACCCGAATCCAGGACACTACCGAACCCTCAGTGAAGACAACTGAAGGGAGTTTTAGCTCTCCGGAGGTGAGAGAGCGGTTTCCAGACAATACTAAGTTTAACCTCTCCTCTGCCAAACCTCCAAGCATTTTCCAATAACAATGCAGCCCTGGGTCAAAGTTAGGGTCTGGTGTTGGAGGGCAGGAAAATTGTTTGCTATGTGCTGTGATTTTGTTAAAGACAACTCTAAGAAACGAAGATATGTTGATTTATCTCCCCATATCCCCTCATCTAGATATTTCAAAGATTAATTTTAAAGAATTTTATAACTATAAGATGATATAAAATAAGATGCTTGGATTTTTTTTCTGATCAAAGTATTCAAAGTTATTTTAACACGTGTCTAAATTTCTCTTTCCATTATACATCCAAATTATTTTCAAGTGATAACTAATGAAGGGGAGTATGAGCAAATCATGGTTTGTTAACTGGGTATATTGTTGTTTTCAACTGGAATAATAATTAAACCAAAATAGCTTGTAAAAGTATCTTAATGCTGATATTTTAAGTTATGTCGAATTTGCAAAATTTCTATGAAATGCTCAAAGAAAAAATTTCATGAACAGAAAGTTGAGTGGCAAGTGTATGCAGAGTTTTCAATCAGAGTCTTTCATCTGGTAAAAGCTGCTATAGATTAATCATTTAAGAAAACAGCTTCCCACTTTAAAGGTGTGTATTAATATTATTAAAAGAGGAGATTGTAATACTCTCAAGTGTGCTTTTATTACTGTTTGATAATTACATGGGCATTACTAATATATCATTATTCTATGCTTTTTATTATTGTATACATTTTTCTAAGATCCATATAATCTAATGTCTTTCTTACTAGCCGTTTTTCTTGATGTCTATAGGTATCTTCAGGAGTTTGAATTTCTCAGTCTGGTTTTTTTGTTGTTATATTTTTCTTCATCTATCATGTATCTATTTTACCTGGCATTTTTATTCTTGAGCATTTAGTGAATACATTACAAACTATTTAAGGTATATGTAAGAAATTTTTATTTTTATAATTCTTTTACCTCATAGCTCTTGTTAATTACTCTATTCATCAATGATTTTTTTTACAGATGTCGAAGGCTGTAGAAAATGTAGTTATAAGTTCACTATTACCCAGTGAGTGATTTGCTCCTGGAAAATTAGTTCATTTATTGTTGTTGGCTTTTGTATATATGGTTTTTATGAAAATTCCATGCAAATACCTCTAATATATATTCATGAATGTTTTCACTGTATTGCACGAAAATGGATTTCCAGTTGTAATAGGGATGCTCAAGGAGAATTTTATTCCTCAAAGCTTCATATATTTAAAAATAATCACTTTGTAAAATATTACCCTCTCTATTGTGAAGAGAGGGAATTGATTTGAGGTGAATATTTCACAACCTTCATACATATTAAAAGAAAGTGAGATAAATATAACTTCGCATTTTAAAATATATCTATGTATTTTTTAATAATCTTACCAAATTGTTCTCTTAACCACATGAATTTTCTGCTTGCCATTAGCCAGATATTGATAGCTGGATTTTCTTTTCTTTCCATTTTATTTTAGTTTTAATTTCTAGCTCTGTAGCATAAGCTGGCTCTTAAATGAATTTTGCAATTGCCTTGAAACTGAACATTAAGGGTTCAGAGAGTCTCTCACTATAGAACCTAAGGCGGACGTCAATATACTCCCCCAGCAATGAGTTACATCAGTCACCGCAACAGATAACTCTTTTGAATAAGGCTGAGTCCTTCAAGTGCCTTGTGGAATTTTGAGAAACAAGACTTCTAAAAGTGAATAGATCAGATTCTCTTCTTAGTCAGGCTTCTAACTGGTTCTGTGCCTGAGGCAAAACAATTAACTTCTGGGAGTCTAAGATTTCTCAAACATAAAAGGATGAGTTAGAATACGCTTTCTAAAATCTTTTCACTACTCTGGTGTCCCTGTTTCTATGGTCAAAGGGCAGAGGATCCAGGGGGAGAGAGAGCTTAGATATATACTCATTTTGCCACTTGAGAGCAGCAACCCTAGGCAAGGCCCTGAAGATTCTATGACATCAGTGTCTCCTGTGTAAAAGGAGCTATTAGAACACATGAACAATGGTCTATGTGACTGCTGGGTGCAGCATCTGGCACTTAAGAGATGCACAGTAATGTTTTCTAGGGTACCTATCTCTGACAAATCTAAGGTTCTTCTGGCTCTGGCATGGGAGGAGATGAGCAAAGTACCGAGAAGCCCCTCTTGCTTGTTCAGGAGGACATTACCACTATAGCTCTTATAGCATCCAACAGGACTAGGAGATGGGATGATCGGAATCTCAAGTACGTTAAGAATTCCTTTTTGATATCACTTTAACCCCTCCCTACCCACAAAAAAAAGTCAAAGTCAGTCAGGACAGCACCAAAATTAAATTTATTTCAATGCCACACAAGACTGAAAGGGCATGCCCTCTTCCATTAACCTTGTCTAACTAGATTTGACTCTCTCTTATAGCCAAGGAGATCAGCAGCACAACTCATTACATTACACAAGGAGACCAGCAGCACAACTCAAATCACACCATACCAGTAATTTAAAGAAAAGCAAGAAAATACCACAAACAAAATAATCACTGAAATCCAAGAAATTGGTTCTCCCTTAGCTGTTGCCACTGAATATTTAATATTTCCAAATATTACCAAATATATTTCTTACTTTATTTTCTTCTCGGGCTGTGGAAAGGGTTTCATTTCATTTAAATTCTTGCATGGAGTCTTGGTTCCATTGTGGCCGTTGTAGACTAAAGCATCTTCTCCTAGGACTGATGCACCTTTTTCTAGTTCCCCACAGAAAGGTCAGTTGACCGATATTTTCAAAACTCCTGAGGGCCTACCAAACACATTAGACTATTACAGTGCTGGTTGCATTCCCACACAATTTAGAAAACAACAATTTCCCAAAGCCAAATGAGATAGTAATAGCTAACCTTTAGTGAGCTATAACTTTATATGCATTATTTCATTTAATTGTCATGATTTTAGAAATCAAATACAACCACAATCCCTGTTTTGTTGATAAGGAAACTGAGGCTTGGAAAGAATTTATCCAAAGTAAACGAATTCACTAGGCTGAGGAATCAGGATAATGAACTCATGTCTACATGCTTAAATAGCAGTTTAAGTACTGATTTCTGTATATGCCAAGACTTTTCAAGCAAACCTGCATACTTAGGAAGAACTAAATATTACAATCTTGACAAAGGTTCTTATAAAGAAGTAGGAAGCATCAGTCACTTGTGAACCTTTTCCAAGTCTCCACACTTGAGTCGCAACACTGCAGACCAGTGATCTGGAGTCTGGTCTGGGTATATATATTTTCATGATTCTGAGAGAAAGTAATCTTCATGATTTCTCATAGTGAAAAATACTGGTCTCGACTCACATTGTTCTTTTGCAGTTATAGAAAAAAAATTAAATTTTGTCTGGGAAAGGGGCTATTTAGATAAACATAAGCAGACAAACATTTCTTGAATTCAGCCTCACCAGAACACCAGTTAAATCAAATAGTTGTCTATATTAGAGTTTATCATCTGTAATTATTAAACTTAGTAAAGAAAAATTTCAAATAAAGAGTTTACTCATGACCTTATGATTCTCATAAGGGGCATGGGGCGTGGGTGGTGGCTGGCAGGGATCAGGTCACTTATATAAACTATTCCCTCTTTCAGAGAGTGTCATATCAAAAACCCTTGTCTCCTTGCAAAATGTAGACATTTAAAGAGGTGTCACCTATAATACCTAGGATTTCTCTAGACTTCCTTACTTTATAGGGGATCTATAAAAAAGTACCTATTTAATGTTTCTAAATTTTCCTTTCCATTTTACCTCCTGTCCCTGCATTCTTGGCACATCAGCACTAAAGTAAATGTGAGCTCTCTCGAGGAACACAGCTTCCAATTCTTTCTGTTAGCAGTGTATCACATTCATGTAGGCGTTCTCTCAGCAGAGTTTATAGCTTTGCATATCCCTTGGCCCTTACTCGCAATCTCCTGGTCTTCTCTGTGGAATTCCCCACACTCAACAGGTTTGCAAAGTTTCTTTGTTCGTGGGTATGCATTAATATCTTTATATCACAGTGCTACTTCAAGCTTGAAAGTTTTGTCTAGAATCCCAACTCTTTGAGGAGTTTCCCTTAGTCCCCATTTATTTCAGCTGGAAAAACTACCACAAATGATTTCTGACCTGCAGTGCATTTTATGCTTCTTCCCAAACTAGCAGTGCTAGAGGCTCACTGAAGACCCACCCTAGCTTGCCCAAATACCCTTACCTGAGCGCGTTTTTCTTTATATTTTGATTATTCAGGTTATAGTAACTTCTATTCATTTTTTCCTACAGAAGTAGGGCTTGAAGGCTCTGTAGTATGCAAAGCCTTACCCATTTCATTCTCTTTGACTTCATCCTTAGCTTTCACCCATCTTGTCTTCATCTGGTCCCTCCAGTCCAGAACATACCTACTTACAGCTTTTGCACTTGCTGATCTCGC